ATTACAGTACAAAGGTAGATTGTCATTCACAATTTCCTGAAACACCTCAATGATTTTTCCAGTTGTTTTATCCAAACTTTGAAGCCTCACACGTTTGGGATGCTTGTCCAGTAGGTCCAAGATCACCTTTACCCTTGTTGTGCTTGGTCTTGATTTAATTTGCATCGCTTTATCAATGGAAATAGGTCTTCCAGCAGCAGAAGCGATTGATCACAGAGCCCTTTTCGCAAACAGATTCGGCGCAAGGTTTGGCAGTGATATCCATAAAACTGCCTTTGTTGTTTCTTCCTTGGGATCAAAACCAATAGACCATGGGAAGATTCTGCACTGATGCTCCTCTCCTTTGTGCGCAAAATAAGTAACAGATCGCGTCAAAGACATTACAAAATCATCAAACTGATCAGACCTTAGTAAAACCTGTCTTGGCGCTAATAATCCAATCAAACAATGTCCCTTAACCCCAAGTTGTTTGGGCAGTAGAGTTCGAATCTCCTTCAACTCTGGTGCTCGTGCAGATACTTCAACCACGATTGCCTGGTGTAAACCTTCTTCTCTTGCAAATTGTTGCCGCTCCTCCATGTCAAAAACCAGAGTTGGTTCTCCATGGACAAAGTCTACTGTTTTAAGTTGTGTTTGATTCAAAATACCTGTTGGTTTAGATTGAATAAGACGTCCAGCATATGTAGTTGTACTCTTAAATATCCAGTCAAAAAAGGTGTTATTTTTCTCTATAAATAAGAACGGCAAGTTTTGAAAATAATGCTACAAACATATTCATCCAAAATGTATGTGACAGCTAGAATGTATATGAAAGTTAGAAGCTGTGCCAATGCCCACTATTGCAGAAAGGTATATCGGTGTTTTAATTTAGTCGGATGCTTCATCGACTCCTTGGCTTAAGCATTGTTTTTGTTTTCTTACTCTTTTTTCCTTAGTGTGCAGGTGGTTTTGCACTGTTAATCCGTTCGATTGCACCAGTACTTGATGAGACAATAAGACTAAAAGTCCTCACTCTTCTTCCATGCATTTTCAGATGTGTTCGTCATTTGCGTATTGCCGTGAGATTAGCTGATTACTACCAAAGCCCAGTCAATAAGGTTGGTTATGGTTGAACTTTAGTACTCGAGATCTAAGTGTACTTTTGTCGTCTTTTGCACATAATATTTTACCAAAAAGTACCATGTTATGTCCATGTTGTACATAATCTCTTTTCCTTGTGGTTACTTCTTTCGATTTCAATAGGGAGCATTATTTCTATTAGCCCCAGCATTACACAATATCAGCATGAAAGAAAACACTTGCTAAATATTTAGCCTGTTGGTGCAATTGCAGGAGCATCTCTATTTAGTACTTGAACATAAAAGATAAACTTCTTAAAACTAATCATTGGCTACACTAGTTTAATCAAACAATATTTACTCCAATTGTTTAGTTGATTTGGTGATTAAATTATTCATTTGTCTTTTAAATAAAGTAGCTAGTAGGAGTTTTTTCACTAATGTGACATGACTTCTTCTTTTAACAGATCAAGATCAAGAACTTGAAGTTTGAAGAACCTATCCTTGAAGAATGTGCGGAGCAAGTTGAAGCATTATAGGATTTTTGTTCTGTTAGCAGTGGTTTAAAGATGTTGCCATTTGTACATCGTGCTATAGTTCTATTGTTTATTTTTAGGAGTTGATAAAAATAGTGTCATGCAATTTGGATGGGTATATTTATAGATAGTGTGAACCTTCCCTTCTTTGTAATGACAATAAAATTTTATAGAGTATGAATTTGATTATTTGGTATATTTTGTAGCTGTGTGGTTGTTGTATATAAATGTGTGAGAAAGCATATGGTAATGATTATTCTTTGATAACTACAGGGAAAAATATAAATTGGTGTAATTATATTTATTAAAATTTCACATCAGCAAAAGGAAATACGGTCTTCAAAACTCTTTAACAACAAGACTATCAAATGGTTACATGTGCATTAGCGAAGGAAAATTTTGCAATTTGCGAAGGGAACACCTGTCGCTAAATAGGAATAACGACGGGAGGTTTTTTGGTCGTTAAAGGAATTTAACGACTGGATTCTAATCCGGTCGTTAACTTTTAACGACGGAGCCTTTAGCGACCGGCGACGACCGGATTTTGTTCGATCGTTAATGACTTATAGCGACGGGATTTGAACTTTTTTGACGACTGGATTTCCCTTCGCTAAAAGCCATTTTTCTTGTAGTGTACGGGACGGGATCCCGGGAGATCCCCTATCGATGTTTCTATGTACTGAGTGTATATTTGTCTCTGATTTCTTCTCATTTTCTGATACTATTTTGATTATACCTTACACTGTTTTACCTTGCTTTATATTTATAACCGGTAGGGCCCTGACCTTCCTCGTCACTACCCGACAGAGGTTAGGCTTGGCACTTACTAGGTACCGCTGTGGTGTACTCATGCTCTTTCCTGCACATATTTTCCGTGTGCAGATCCAGGTACATCGACTCAACCATATCGTTAGCGAGACGAGGCGATCTCTAGAGTCTTTGAGGTATATCTCCCACGTCCGCAGACCGAGGAGTCCCTATCTACTCTCTCTTTTTGTTATAGCCCTTCTGTATTTCTTCTTTTGTTTAGACAATCTGGAGTTAGAACACTTTGTAGTTATTTCATAGCTTGTGATTTCATGAGATTCCGGGTTTTGGAAAATGTAGTTTCAGTTTGAGACTTTGTATTGTATATGCCGAGCGGCATCTTAAATGTTTCATTATGTTATTCCGCAGTTTTTGGCTAGTTTTATTCTGTTGTTTCTTTTTCCGCAATTTGTTAGGCTTACCTAGTCGTAGAGACTAGGTGCCGTCACGATAGTTCACGGAGGGCGAACTGGGGTCGTGACAACATGCAACTCAAAATAATCGGTAACATATTCATATTAAAAATCATGTGTAAATCATGCAAGTTATGAAAACACAAATTGCGGTAAAATTACTACTCACAGTACTCGTGCCGAAATACCAAATGCTTCACCTAGCAATTTGTACAACTTTCTCCAATCAATCTATAATTACATAATATCGATCTCATGTTAATTTCCTTTTTTTGGCTAATCATAGCTAATTTAGAATACCCAATCATCGGGTTTCACTTTTGGGTCTTAATTCGTCAATTTATACTTACTCGCGCTACTAGCAGTTGAGAATACTTCCATTAAATACAACCTATTCATATGATATACCCAGTTAATTCACAGAAAATTCTCATGAATTTCTCCCAATTTCCTTAGCTTTATCTTTCAAATTCTTAATTCAATTCCAAAATTATATCTACTCAGCCCTATCAGAATCATGTATATAAAATTCCATTATCTTAAAAGATGAAGAAATATATGTAACTACCTGGAATGTATTGCTGAAACCCAAGGATTAGATGAAACACGTTCTTCGGCGCTAAAGAAACACCCGAGACTCTCTTTCTTTTGTTTTTCCCCGTCCGATGCTTTCTTCCTTACCTTCTAAGGAATTTTTCTTTTTTATTCAGATGGACACCTCAATTATACTAATGACCAGAGAGACACCTCTTCTCGGCTAAAGTGTGTCTCATGAACCCCTCACGATGACATGGCAAAGGGTGTGCTTTTTACTCATGTCTGGGCGCGTGAAACCCTCAAAATTATGTTTTTCTCTTTTTTCTTTTTAAATTAACCTTATTTTAATGACCCACTTACCTTCATCTTCACACTTCTTTCTTCTTCAAGTTTCACCATTGATGAAAAACAAGAACAATTAAAAAGTTTCTTCCAAATTACAACAAATGGAAAAACATAAAATAAGCACACAATTTCGTCCAATATATACTATCACAATTGCTTATACAATTAATCACAAGCATTACCATAATAATTAATTGGATAAATTAAATTTTACCATAATAATTAATTATGGTAAAAATTTTGTTGCTCTTCTGCTCAATAAGGTCTCTTTTTTAAATCCTTCAATTACGGGTTCCAACTTGGGTTCCAACTTTTTTCACCTTCAATTAAATTTCACCTTCAATTTGTGTGCTCTGTTTTGGGTTCCAACTTTTTTCTTCATATACCCAGGAGCGAAATGAGGACGCGAAGCAAAGTGAAAATCACCTTCCAATTAAATTGTGGTGGTAATGTTTGGGGCTCCTACACGGCAAAAATTAAGACCAAGATTCAATAAATTTTTTAGTTCTTGGTCGTTCAAAAGCAGGGCTCTTCGGTTGTGTATTTGGTTAAGGGGTTTTAAGATGTTGAAGGGGTGGTCTGTTGGTGGAAGTGGCTGAAGATGTTGAAGGNCATTGCTTACATATGAAAGGGGCGGATTTCCGGCAGATTTGAGAGGGGCGGGCGGCGACTGCTTGTTTGACTGATTAGGGTTCTTTGGGGCGTAAGGAAGAAGAATAGGTTGGGCGGTGCGGACGGCGGGGGGGGGGGGGGGGGGGGGTTAGACGGGGGGATGGTGTAGTTGGAAATAAGGAAAAAGATATTATTTTCTTATTAATTACATGTGTCAAATATTTTAATTATAAATTACACTTGTCATTCTTTAATTGGTTTATTGACACATCATCCGGCAAGTGTAACTCACGCATATAGTCTGCTCCACTCGAATGTTTACTTGATACACTTAATAGCCATTTGAAGTATCTAAATGGTAAATGGGTCAATTGAGGTGTCCATCTGACCGTTGAGGACAACTTGAAGGGGCTGTTTATGTATTTCGCTTTTCTCTTTCTTTCCCTTTTCTTTTAGTTCCAGTGACTTTGCCCCTTCTTTTAATTAGAGTAGGTTTCTTCTTTTTTTGTTTTGTTTTGTTTTATTAATTTGTTCCTTTTTTTTATTTAGTTAGTTCTTTTTTTTTTCTTTAAACTTAAATTATTTACTAAATATCTCATATGTCCTCATTTAAAATATTGGGGGTATTACAATATACGATACAACTAAACATTTGGTTCAAAGAGAAATTACAAGCAGAAGGGTCAGCCAGATTGACAATGGTAAGAACAATTTTCTCAAAATGTTATTAAAAAATTAATAAACTAAAATGAATCAGAAAAGAACATAGAAAATATTAACTTTCTTTTCTTTCTCTCTATTTTCCTTTTTTTTTTTTCTAACAACTAGCTAGGAAAAATACTAGGGTTTCTTGAAAATTTTCCCAGCAACGACAGCAGCATCAATAACATCAGTAATAACTCGAACAACAGTACCAACTGAACAAGTGTTCCCTTTAAATGATGGAGCTCCTGATTTCGTGAACGTAGCCACACAATTCAGGAAGCTTTGGTTGCACTCTAAGTTTAGATAATTATCTGTAACATCAAAATTAACAAAAATTAATGGGAAAAAACTAAAAAGAAAGAATTCAACCAAGAAGAGCGAATTGGTGATTTAGAATCATTGAGTATATTATATGTGTTATCCTGTAATATGTATTTATGTTTTAAATTCTTTTTGTATATGTAGCTGAAAGTAATGAGTTAAGCTCATAGAACCAACCCTGAATTCACTTGTGTGAACCAATACAGCCAAACTTTTCTATAACATCATCCTCTATAACACTTTATTATAATGGTCAGATTCTTTTTGGAACCAATTATTCATGTTATATTATAATATATGTTCTCTTTAATAACACTTTGTTATAGCAGTTAAAAAATATCTAGTACTAACAAGGCTATATTATAGAGATGTTTGTCTATATTATAGAGACGTTTAATTGTACCATTACTGAAATCTTTAAACCTTTCTTGTGGAAATTAAACAAGTTTCAAGGAAAGTGACCTAGCAATCAGTTGCGTTAATAATGGGAGAAAAAAAATGAGACATATGTGAAAAGGAAGCTATAGTTTACGTAGAAAAAAGTTTTTTAAGTGCATTTAGACCAATAATTTGTCCAGAGCTTCTGCACAATGTCTGTGTGATAATACAAGCTCACCTACCTTGATGTGGCACATATAATTGACTACAACCACCTCCTAATTCAAATTTCTTATTCTCTCTAGCTAGGTGCTCATCAAAACTTTTGTCTAACTTTCTATTCTTATTATTTAGTGGATAAAGTTATTCTTTATTATTATGCTAGTGAAAAGTAATTAATATTTAGAATATTACTGAAATACTCACATGCTTGTGACTCCTTAACTTTTTTTTTTCTTTTTTTATAAAAAGTTGACAAGTGAAATGGAATCTACGACATCATCTCATCAATTAGAGACTATAATTCATCTTTAGCACCGTCTCATCTCATCAATATGGGGCCACATCATCTCTGGGTTTAAAATAGGTCATTTTCCCTTTTAGATAAAACCAAACCATAATAATTTCTTTTTAAGAAAAAACCTTGCCATTATGTATGATTGTTTCAACCCAAAAAAAATGACCTTAAATAGGAAAACGTGAACAGTGCTTGTGCAGCTTCATTTTACGTTTTTTATCATTAGCAAAATGCTGCAACAACAAAAGTGTAGACTCTTGTTTGCCATTTCTTTTGTCCTATTAAGAAATTGTTCTATTTGTACACTTTATGTTCACCAAATAAATTTAGCTAGAACCATTCTTCTCTTTCTCACATTGAAATAATTGATAGAATATATGACAAGAATTAGTGTGTTACCCCGGTAATATCGGTTATTAATCTTGATATCACAAAATTATAGCATAAACAGTTAGTATTACACGAATAAAATTTAAGTTTTATGCGGCACCAATGAAAATATATTTAATTACTTATAATATATATAGTAATGGATAAATAACTTACTGCCTTTACGTTGTATACAGAGATCATGCTTCATACAGCAAGCATCAAGTCCATCACATGGTTGCTCACCTGGACATCCACTGTATAGAACTCCACAATACTTCCCATATCTTAGGAGTGGAGGAACTGCCATTATTCAAGAAAGAAAATCATTTTTTTGTGTCTTAAGAGAAGTTAATTAATACAATTAATTAATGGCCAAAAATTAATAGAAAAGTGTGTACCTGCACAGAACTTTGATTCACATGTTCTACTGCATTCTTTTTCCTAATTTTTTTTTTTGAGTAATAATTAGAAAAACAGAAGAAAGTTAGGGTAAGGTTTGTGAATAATTAACATGAAATGAGACTAGCAAAAGCTGTTGTGGGATGCCAGCATTAACCAGAAATCTTGAATTCGAGAGCTAAGAAAAAAAATCATGAAATGAGAGATAGAAAGAAAGATTTACCAAGGAGATGCCAGCATTAGTTTCAATACCAATGTTAAGGGCATGAACTGAAATGGGAGGAAACCTGAGGGCTATGATGCAAAATGCAAGAAGTTGTAGACAAAATAACTTCAACGACTGCAGAAAAGCCATTGAAGAAAGAAAGCACTGAATTATGAGAAAAGTTTTTTTGGTTTTGCTTACAGGCTCTGATTTATAGGGAGAAATTGTTGGTGACAAACTAAAATAAGTGTGTATAGAAACTGATGAAGCTTTACTTAGGTGGTGTAGTTTCTTTGGAAGAGATAGAAGGTGGGTGACTTTTAGGGACTGAACTGATCGAATGGATGAAGGGGGTGGGTGTGGGGTGTGAGATTTGTCGTGTAACATCTCGTGACATGTTTTTGGTGGTGTTCACATTCTGTCATCCACAAGAGTCTTTTATCTCTATTTGTATATATATGCTGTAAATATTGTTGGACTTTAAGTTAAGCATTGGGCTTTAAAAGTCTAAGAGTGTGAATTGGAAATGGTAGAAAATAAAATGGAGGGAAATGAAAATTTGAATGAAGTGAGCTTTTGACTTGCACTTTGTCCCTCATTGGTGAAGGACAACTACATTTGTGTGCTTATATAGAAAATCACTTCTTAAATCTCTTAAAAGGAGTTGAAGAGAATGAACCCTCGCGCCGTCGTCGTCGCTCGCTCGGCTTCGGCTTCGGCTTCATCAAACGATTAATTAAATCTGCAAATAATTAATAATTAATTAAATCTACAGACACCTTTTCCAGATAAGCGTTATGGAATGCGCTTGAGAAAAAGTACAAGACTGAGGATGCCGGACTTAAGAAGTTCGTGGCTGCAAGGTTTTTGGATTTCAAGATGATTGACACGAGGTCGGTCATAACTCAAGTCCAAGAATTACAAGTCATTGTGCATGACCTCCTTGCTGAAGGTATGACCCGAATTAATAATTTTATTAATAAGATTTATCTTGTTATTAATTATGAATTTATTGTTGAAGGTATGATCATAAATGAGGCCTTTCAAGTCGCTGCTTTCATTGAGAAGTTACCTCTGTTGTGGAAGGACTTTAAGAACTATCTTAAACACAAGCGGAAGAAAATGACACTAGAAGACTTGATTGTTCGTTTGAGGATAGAAGAAGACAACAAAAATGCTGAAAAGAAGTCACGTGGAAACTCGACAATAATAAGGGCTAACATTGTTGAGGAGGCGCCACAAAATAAGAAGAGAAAGAAGGCTTCTGGACCAAAGAATTACCCAAGCAAGAAAAAGTTCAAGGGTAATTGCCACAGCTGTGGAAAATCTGGGCATAAGGCCGTGGATTGTCGTGCACCAAAGAACGATAAGAAGAAGAAGAATCAAGCTAACATGGTTGAAAATGCTGAAGAAATGGAGGTCTTGTGTGCCATGTTGTCTGAATGCAACTTGGTAGGAAATCCTAAAGAATGGTGGATAGATTCTGGAGCCACCCGCCATGTTTGTGCTAACAAGGAGTTATTTTCTTCTTATGCCCCCGCAGGACCCGACGAGACAATTTTCATGGGAAATTCGTCTACAGCCAAAATTGAAGGAGTTGGCAAGATTGCGTTGAAGATGACGTCGGAAAAAATAGTGACTCTAAACCAAGTTCTCCATGTTCCAGAAATTCGCAAGAATCTTATGTCTACCTCACTTCTTGTCAAGAATGGATTCAAATGTATTTTTGTTTCTAATAGTGTTGTACTAGTAAGAATGATGTGTATGTAGGAAAAGGTTACCTGAATGAGGGCCTTTTTAAGCTAAATGTAATAGCAGTTCCTATCAATAAAGTTGATGCTTCTTCTTACTTACTTGAGTCAAACACTTTATGGCATTCACGCTTAGGTCACGTCAACTTCAAAACATTGCGAAAAATGATAAATTTTGAAGTATTGCCAAAATTTGATTGCATTAATTCCAAATGTCAAATATGTGTGGAATCAAAGTATGCTAAGTATCCTTATAAGTCCGTTGAAAGGAATTCAAGTCCTTTAGACTTAATTCACACAGATATTTGCGACATGAAGTCAACACCATCTCGCGGTGGGAAAAAGTATTTTATTACTTTTATTGACGATAGCACGAGATATTGCTATGTTTATTTACTTAATAGTAAAGATGAGGCAATTGATGCTTTCAAGCAATACAAGAGTGAAGTTGAAACACAACTAAACAAAAAGAACAAAATGATAAGAAGTGATAGGGGTGGCGAATATGAATCTCCTTTTGAAGAAGTATGTTTGGAAAATGGCATTATTCACCAAACAACTACCCCTTACTCTCCACAATCTAATGGAATTGCGGAGAGAAAGAATCGAACGTTGAAAGAGATGATGAATGCGTTGTTGATAAGTTCAGGTTTACCACAGAACTTGTGGGGGGAAGCTATACTTACAGCTAACCGAATAATCAACCGTGTACCTCATAGTAAAACACAGTCCATTCCCTATGAGAAATGGAAAGGAAGGAAGCCCAGCTTGAAATACTTCAAAGTGTGGGGGTGTTTAGCTAAGGTTCAAGTTCCTAAACCTAAAAGGGTTAAGATAGGTCCAAAAACGGTTGATTGTGTATTTATTGGATATGTAACCAATAGCAAGGCTTATCGTTTTCTGGTTCATAAGTCAGAAAATCCTGAGATTCACATTAATATGATAATAGAATCAGAGTGAACTCTTTGAAACTATTTATCCGTATAAAAAGGAAAGTGAAGTGACCTACCAAAAGTCAAAACGACCTCGGGAGGAAATAACAGATGGTATGCCTAATGAGGAAAATCCGAGAAGAAGTAAACGTCAACGGACATCTACTTCATTCGGTCCAAATTTTTTGACTTTCCTGCTAGAAAATGAGCCTCGTACCTTCAAGGAAGAAATGTCTTCCTCAGAAGCACAATATTGGAAAGAAGCTGTCAATAGTGAAATAGAATCCATATTGAGCAACCATACCTGGAAATTGGTTGATCTTCCTCCAGGTAACAAAACATTGGGTTCTAAATAGATTTTCAAGAAGAAAATGAAAGACGATGTTACTATTGACAAATACAAGGCAAGACTTGTTGTCAAAGGATTTAGACAACGAGAAGGTCTTGACTATTTTGACACATACTCGCCGGTAACAAGAATTACATCCATTCGGATGCTAATAGCATTAGCCGCCTTGTATGGTCTTCAAATCCATCAAATGGATGTAAAAACAACCTTCTTAAATGGTGATCTAGAGGAAGAAATTTACATGAACCAACCCGAAGGGTTTGTGGTTCCGGGAAAAGAAAAGAAGGTGTGTCGACTTGTTAAGTCCCTTTATGGACTAAAACAAGCACTCAAGCAATGGCATGCGAAATTTGATCAAACAATGTTGTCAAATGGCTTTAAGATTAATGAATGTGATAAATGTGTTTACATTAAGACCGTTCCAAATCATATAGTCATCGTTTGCTTATATGTTGATGATATTCTAATAATGAGTAAAGACATTGCCGACATTCAAGCAACTAAGCGTATGCTTGCTAGTAAGTTTGATATGAAAGACTTAGGAGTTGCCGATGTAATTCTAGGAATTAAAATCCAGAGGACTCCTTAGGGTCTAGCTTTGTCTCAATCACATTACGTGAAAATGGTACTTGAAAAATTCAAACACTTGGAATTTAGAAGTGCAAGAACTCCAATTGACTTAAATCATCATCTTATAAAGAATAAAGGTGAAAGTATGTCGCAATTGGAGTATGCTCGTGTGTTGGGAAGCTTAATGTACATCATGAACTGTACACGACCTGATATAGCTTGTGCAACAAGTAAACTTAGTCGATTCACTAGTAATCCAAACAAACATCACTGGGTGGCAATGAAACGAGTTCTGGGATATTTGAAATATACCCAAGAGTACGCTTTGCACTACAATAAATATCCTGCGGTTATCGAAGGATATAGTGATGCAAATTGGATAACCGGCTCAACAGAAACAAAATCCACAAGTGGATATGTTTTTACTGTTGGTGGAGGAGCACTATCTTGGAAGTCTTCCAAACAAACGTGCATCGCTCGCTCTACAATGGAATCAGAGTTTATAGCTTTGGATAAAGCCGGTGAAGAAGCTGAATGGCTTCGAAATTTCTTAGAAGACATTCCGTTCTGGCCAAAACCTTTGGCTCCTATTTGCATACATTGCGATATTGAGGCTGCAATAGGACGGGCAGAGAGCGTTATGTATAACAGAAAGTCTCGTCATATACGACGAAGACATAACACCGTTAGACAACTACTTTCTAGTGGAATTATCACTATTGATTATGTTAGATCAAAGGATAAAGTGGCGGATCCGCTTACAAAAGGCTTAACTAGAGAGGGAGTTGAGAAATCATCTAAGGGAATGGGACTATGACCGAGGACAAGTCAACATTGCGGTAACTCTACCTAGAATTTTGGATGTTCCGAGATCTAGGTTCAAAGAGCTCAAACAAAGTTGTGATTGACCGGTTCAACATTGTCAAAGTAAAATCTTTGGTCCCTTCTCGTGATAAAGACAATGTTCAGTAACAAGGATAGAACTTTACACGTCCTTTAATGATTACCTAAGTTTGATGTGGTATTTATCAAATAGTGTCAATCTAAAGGATTACACGTTTAGGAATCACCTATGTAAAGTGTGAAGTGGAAGCCGCTTCAATGAGAATTCTGTAAGGCCAATTCTCTATGCACTTATGAAACCAGGCGGTGTTCATGGCTGAAACGAACACAACAATGAGAACCAAAAGACGGTTAAGGGTTGGTTGTGTGACATATGGTTGTCTAGGTATACACTAAAGTTCGACGGTTCAAAGATATCAAATCTACCGATTGACCGAGTATATCCGACATATGTTCACTACGGAAAGTTCAAAGGGAAACCTACTTATCCAGATGCAATTAATCCTTACTTGCAAATCACACAGCTTTCATCTATGATCATTCTTGTTACAGCCATCCCCATTCATGTGGGGGATTGTTGGACTTTAAGCATTGGGCTTAAGACTTTAAGCATTGGGCTTTAAAAGTCTAAGAGTGTGAATTAGAAATGGTGGAAAATAAAATGGAGGGAAATGAAAATTTGAATGAAGTGAGCTTTGACTTGCACTTTGTCCCTCATTGGTGAGGGACAACTACATTTGTGTGCTTATATATAGAATCACTTCTTAAAGCTCTTAAAAGGAGTTGAAGAGAATGAACCCTCGCGCCGTCGTCGTCGCTCGCTCGGCTCAGCTTCAGCTTTGGATTTGGATTTGGATTTGGATTTGGATTTGTCAAATGATCGATCGATAAGATTATTTTTGGACAAAAGTTATTTAATTAATTATTTAATAATTAGTTAAATCTGTAGATTCAGAAGGTCACTCTGACCGCGGTCCT